TAAATAAAAATGAAGTAATTTTTAAATCTCTTTTTCAAAAACTGTGAAAATTTGATTACTCGTAGAGAGATTTTGATTGACCCTACTGGTGTTTTGCAATTTTGTTTGGTAATTGTATGTCAGTTTGTAATGTCTTTATTAATTGGTTAGCTGTAGCTCGTAACGTAAATACATTTAACTCACTTTAAGATGACAGGTTAAAGGTTGATTCTCACTATACCTTCCGTTTCCATTCCATATCCGTTCCGTATTTTTTATTGTATTGATGCTATACGTAAGCTTCCGTTCCGTATCAGTTCCATACTTTTTATTGTCATTACGAAAGTTTTATTTAAAAAAATTGTATCTTTTGAAAAAAGTAATAAATTTAATTATCAGGTGAAAGAATAAATAAATATCAGCAAAATTTTAACAGAGCTGGTACAAATGTAAGAACTTGACAGCACTGTTTTCGATACGCTTCAGTCCGTCCGCCAAAAAAATGTATGGAAGGAAAGGATATGGAACGGAAGGGAAACGGAACGGATAGTGTGCATTGTCCTGTTCATTTACATAATATAATAATTTATGTAAACGGAAGGGAGCTGATATGGAAGATATAGTTAGAATCAACCTTAAATTGAAACTTTGTACATTTATCGCGAACTAATGACAGTACATCAATTTAATGAGTTTGTATATTCTGACGAGGATCGCCATGATTAAGGTTGATTTTTACTATACATTCCGTTTCCATTCCATATCCGTTCCGTATTTTTTATTTTATTGACGCTATACGTAAAGGTTGAGTCTCACTATACCTTCCGTTTCCATTCCATATCCGTTCCGTATTTTTGATTGTATTCACGTTATATGTAAAGGCTTCCGTTCCGTATTAGTTCCATACTTTTTATTGTGTTTCCGATGCACTTCAGTCCGTCCGCCAAAAAAATCTATAGAAGGAAAGGATAAGGAACGGAAGGGAAACGGAACGGATAGTGTGCATTGTCCTATTATTTACATGATATAATATTTTATGTAAACGGAAAGGAAACGGAAGGGAGGTGATACGGAAGGTATAGTGAGAATCAACCTTAAAGGTTGATCCTCACTATACCTTCCGTTCCGTTTCCATTTTATATCCATTCCATATTCGTTCCGTATTTTTATTGTATTGACGCTATACGTAAGCTTCCGTTCCGTATCAGTTCCATACTTTTTATTGTACAATTTATATCATTACGAAAGTTTTATTTTAAAAATTTGTATCTTTTGAAAAAGACAATAGATTTAATTAAGAGGTGAAAGAATAAATAAATATCAGCAAAATTTTAACAGAACTGGTACTAATGTAAGAATTTGGCAACGCTGTTTCCGATAGGCTTCAGTCCGTTCGCCAAAAATATGTATGGAAGGAAAAGATATGGAACGGAAGGGAAATGGAACGGATAGTGTGCATTGTCCTATCCATTTACTTGATATAATATTTTACATAAACGGAATGGAAACGAAAGGACGCTGATATGGAAGGTATATTGAGAATCAACCTTTAACGATTTATTGGTTCTGAATTGGTTCATACCAAAATTGTTCTATCGGTGGGAGGAAGTTAATCACCGCGATTTTATAGATTTATTGTGTCTCCATTTCTTCAGTTATAACTCATCATGCAATCTCAGGGCTTTGACAAAAATTAGTATCTGAGACGAGTTTACAGAGGTTAATTCACAATCTTCGATATCAGTCATACCAAAGTTTATTGCACGAATGGTTGTAGTCTCGGCGCACTTAGTGATTAGGTGTTCGGTGTTCTAGTGTTCCTTCATTTTTCCCACATAATTTGAATTCGCCGTTGTTTCTTAGCTTCAATTTATTGAGTTGTTTATTGAGGAGTCAGTGTCATATTAAAAACCGCGTGAAAATCCGAATATTGTTCTTAATTAAATCAAAGAAAATCTTCAATTTTTCCAAGTCCTGAGAATTTTTTCTAGCGTTTAAGTTGGTTTCCACTTGGGAAGCAGAACTATTTTGGTCCAGTTAGTGAAGTGTTTGCTCTTTTTCTAGCTGTATCGTTAGCTTTTTCATTATCTTCTATAACTTCTTTGTCTTATTTGTTCAGGTTTTCTAGGCATTATTTGACCAACTTCGAATTGATGGTTACCGAGTTGATCGCTTTTAAGGCTTCTTGAATATCGGATTGTTTCCAATAGTTCCTAAGATAATGTGTACGCATCTTTCGATAGCGTATTTTTCTGCCTGAAGGATGCTGGGGTTTGGAGTATTTAATTTAATAAAATTAAAAGTTAATTTACTTTTTTTAATTTTTGCTTGAAGGATGCCTATTCATTCGGAGTGTTTAGTTTTTAGCCCAATTACTCATATTCCTGTTCGTGCATTGCTTTTGGAAGCGTCGATGTACTACTTTATTGTATGGTCTTTAGCAGTTTACTTACTCCATGATTCTACTACCCGGGGTGGGTCTTGGCCGACTGTTGTACAATTGTACATGCGTGTCTCTTTTACCATGCCAGGGCTGTCTACACGTGACGCGCCCATTGCAGCCTTATTGCATTTATCTCCACCACAATATTTGGATCTTTATATAATTCCATTATTTCTTGATTGGTTCTTCCTGATTGGTCGCTACCGTTGGATTACTGGGCTTCGCAGTGGTCCAAAAATCTTAAGTAAGGCTTTTCTCTCGTTGTATTCAGTCGAGGGCTAGCATACGTAACAGTCGGTCGTATAACTGTTTTATAAATTTTAATTGTGGTTCTGACTTTCAATGTTTGTACTGATTTTATTGTATTGAGCATTTGTTTCCATTATGTATTCGGAGTTTAATTTTTTCTCTTTGATTATTATCTTGAGCATATGTGGTGCTCCTAAAGACTGTTGTAAAAAAGTTGCGACCCTCTCTAAATTGTACTCTCATAGTGATATTTTGGCCTACTCTGTCTCTGTGTCATGTTCTGCTAGTATGCATATACTTGGTTTTGTCTTCGTTTATTTTCGGCCCCTAAGTTTGTGTTTCTACGATCGAAAAGAGGTCTTTCACAATCAGTTCTGATTTACCCACTACGTCAATGTCATCAGCGAAAGTCAGTAATAATTTTAGGCAATCCCGGCCAGTAAGATCAATGCTTATTTCAGCTGTACCTTCGCAGTCAATGCTTATTTGAGGCTTTGCCTGTATCAATATCATATGTAGTATTATAAAACAGATTCTAGACACGAAATTAACTTATTTCATATAATTCCTTCTATGTAATCGTCATCAGATCATATAAGTAGACTATTTTTTCATGTCGTATCAAAATAAATATTTTCCTATATCTGTTTTTCATCTCATGTAACAATACAATTATTATTGTAATTATAAGTGTCGTTATAAATATTGATTTTGCTATATATACATCACCTCACTTATATACATCACCTTTAAGTACTTAACTAGGTATTTATTACTCTTACTTTTTATTTAGTATTATTTTCTTATAAATTTGATTATGTGTTTACTTTTTTTGTTTACTGAAATTTCAACAGTTACCTATATGTGTCTTAAAAATACCTACTGAACATTGATTTATCTTCAATTTTAAACTTTTGGATAAAAATTACTAAACACTAGCAGTGAAAAACTTCGTACCTCACTGATCACTCAGTAAAGGAAAAAGGTTTTTTAAATAAAGAAATTAGTCAAAGTCTACGTAACATCTACGTACGAATTTTATTGGTTGTCAATATACAATGTCATATACATATAGTACGAGAGCTAGCAACGCCGGAAAAACAAGTATTTTAAGACGTCTGGCTCTTTGATATATCTTTTACTATGCTCTCTAGAACAGCATGCGGCCCGCCTGGCTGCCGGTAAACGTTGCGTTCCCTGCTGCACATTGAAAGAAGATCCTATATTTTTATTAGTCCTTTAAATTCTAGTATTGAATATAAATCGAACATGTCTCCATAGCGCAGTGCGTAGAGTTTCCGACCACGAACCGATGATTCAGAGTTCGAATCCGGATCAGGGCAAAGACTTTTTTATTTTATTTTCGTTTATATTCTGGTAGTAAAGTATTATAGGTGCCCGGTGGCACGACTAAGTATTATAGTATTAAGGTGTCCGGTGGCGTAGAGGTACAGGCTCTCGTCTACCAATCTCAAGGTGTGGGTTCGATTCCCACACCCGGTATTTCATCAGCCGACTATTTTTATTAAAATAAAAATAGTTTCGGTACCTAGGTCGACTCAGCCTTGAATGAGTACTTGGGATTCAGAATCCTGAGGCAATAATAGGCGGTTGAAGCGTAGTGCTAGCCACATTACCTTCCTTGTATACCGAACGGCTCTAGTATAGCAAGCTGTACCTTGCTACTCCCAAGGCGTTAAACGCTATATACGGGAGCTATTATTATTAGTAAAGTATTAAATATTTGTTTTTATAATTACTAGAATTATTTAATACTTTTACTATCAGAATATAAGCGAAAATAAAAGAAAAAAGTCTTTGACCTGACCCGGATTCGAACTCTGAATCATCGGTTCGTGGTCGGAAACTCTACGCACTGCGCTATGGAGACATGTTCGATTTATATTCAATACTAGAATTTATAGGACTAAATTAATAAAAAATATAGGACCTTCTTCCGATGCGCAGTAGTAAACGCAACGGGTATCGGCGGCCAGACGGGCCGCATCCTGTTCCAGAGAGCATATTAAAAGATGTATCAAAGAGCCAGACGTCTTAAAATACTTTCTCGAAAACGTTGCTAGCTCTTAGACTAATACGTTTGTCAAGGAATAGTAATAAACATATTTATATTGTATTAATTTTCTCTTACAAATTCGTTTTTAAATTCGGTTGGTATCTACGAAAAACTCAAGACACAATCTCATATACACGTGTGTCATGGAATAGTAATAAATATTTATATTGTATTATTTATTACTATTATTTTACTATTAATTTACTCATCCGCGATTTGTATATGTATTTAAAGACATTGCAATTGTTACAGCTATGGCAGAAGGAAATGGTGAAGTCTCCGAGGAACCAATGAGGATAGAAGATACCGAAAGGACGCCAGATTATCAAAAATTAATAGAATATGGTCTCGATGAAAAGGTTCGTACATTCCCCACATAGAATCTAAGAAATTTAAATATGTTTCCCGCAAAAATAAACAAGGAAAAAATAAATAAAAATAAACAAGATTTATGTTAGGAACTAAAAAAACTATTTAAAGAGGACTAGACATAACTTGGACTAATAACGGACTTAAGTTAATTAATTTACGTTTTTTGAAATATAAAATAATAAAAAATACTGCTAAAATACTATAGGTACGCCAATGCAAACATATAAGTATTTTTAGAATGACCGTGATAGTTGAATATTTAAATTTAATAATGCATGATTTTTTTTGTAAATTTGAAAACAACATTGGTCCGTAAATATTTTTGTTGCTATTTTGAGAATTTTTGGAAACTGCTGATTTTAAAAATAAATACGAGATATGCATAGTAATACATTTCTCTGTCTCTCGTTGTTTATGATGACTAGGCTATTGTAGTTAGTTGAATATTCAGGAAATTAATTTGAATGAATGAATATAATTTTATTAATTTCTAATTTTTTAATTTTATACCCCTAGTGATAAGGGTGGCCCATCACAAATTTTATTTTATTTTTTGGACAACATTTTTTATTTTTATTTGATGTGGCATTAAAACATACATACAACCCTAAATTTTCACCATTCTACCATCCATATTTTAATAGCGATATTTGTAATTAAATGATTTTAATTTAACAAATTGTTTTTAAAATTTGTTAGAATACCTTAAATTAAAAATATGAGTATGATTGGGTATATACCGGGTATAATAGTGTTTACCCAAATTCAATATACCATTTATTGACCCTTTGGGTATATACCCGGTGCACACTTGGGTACATACATGTTTTTTAAATTTTCTCTAAAACAGTTTGGAAATTTGGAAAAATATAAACGGAATTAACCATTATTTTAGAACAAGCAAACATTTTTATGAATAATGCATTTTTCTCAAAATATTAAAAAAGTTTTTTTTCTCTTGTAAAGACAATTCGGGGACATACTGTATAGGAGAGACCGCCTAATCTCTTTTTAAAGTAATGGGAAAAGGACGAAAAATGTATACGTTGGAACGACCTAAAGCCAAGAATAAACAGAAAAAAATATATAGTATACCAGGTCAAAGAAACGAAACAAAAAAAATATACATATAACCAACATATTGTTATAGTAGATATCTGAACGCAACCCAAAATGATTTGCAAGCCTAGAAAGTAGTATTTTGCAGCTCGAGCTCAGGCCTTTGAAGCCTAGCAAGATCTGCAAAATATTGTATTTGTTTTTTGATCATTTCGGAGCGCTTCGGCTTTTTCCGGAATTGTGTCGCTATATATGAGTTATTCAAATTTATTATTTTGTTCTTTTAATTTTATAAATAAGATATAGTGTGTTGCATATTGAAACTTTATTTTATATAAGGACATGTATGAAATACCTATGGAACATTGCAAACCGACGCGACGCGACGTTATGCCACGATGGTTTTTGCAGTTCACAGTTCACACAGCCTTATAAGTTTTTTAATGCCACTTTTTCACAATTATCACAGGTTTGAGTAAATAAAATTTAAATTAAACTCACAAGATAGCAATAATTACTTTGAAAACGGACGCTTTAAATAATTTTCGGTATTTTTTCAATGAGGGCGGTTATACAAAGAATATGGCAAGAAAAAGGAAGTGCCTTACTAAAAAATGGTTCCATGTTAGTGGCGCCATCTATTGTGAGGGGCTTAAATACGCTTATTTATATCATAATTCCCTCGAAACTATCATTTTGAATATGAAAACCATTTTAAAAGCTATTTTTTACACAATATTAACAAATCTAATGCAAAACGTCATTATGTGTTGTGTAAAAAAATAAATTTAATAGCCAAATTTATACATACAAAAAATAGAAGTCAAATATATAAACATCATTTATTATTAAGAAAGCAAGACCAACTTAATACGCCCAAAGTTTTGTAAATGGAGTAAATATAAATAGGGACTTAGATGATGGAAAAAATAAAGACTTACATTGTATTTTAGGGCCACAAATGAAAAGAATTGTCTAATTAAAACACATAATAAAAATTAGACTTTGAAAATCGTTTTGATAATATGATTGGCGTTATGAACTTTGGAAACTACAAAAAGATTCTGATTTAACGCCATCTGGCAATTACTAGTAGCAACTTCCTAACCTAAAAATTAATTAATTGCACTACCACCTAGCGACCGGGGTTGGAACTATTTTATTTGAATGAAAACGGTGGAACCTATTCGCACTATATCACTTGCCTACCCCTGGGCCCGTATTCTGTAATTTTGAAAACGCTAAGCGCTTTTAGACGCTCAGCGTATATGACGTTAATTTTCGCTGAGCGCGCACTTAATTAACGATTTCGGTATTCTCATCTGACGCGCTTAGCGTCTTTACTGATTGCGCTGGGCGCTTTGAAAACGGTTGCCTTAAAGGATCGTTTTGCTCGTCGAACTGTCAGTGAAAATCGAGAAAATTGTGATTTTGTGCGTTATCTTGCTCTTTAGTGAAAACTACTACTTCTTCTATAAATTCCTCAATAAGTAATTGATAATTGACGACTTAGCTGCTATAAATATTGTTCAAAACATCGAAAATGCTGAGAAGAGTCAACGCTTCCCTCGTATAATAAGAATAATGACATCCATAGAAAAATAGCTTGACATAACTCAACAATTAGTTATGATATTCACGTAACATTGATATTTTTCATTGTTACATCCGTCAATTATCAACTTTTGACTATTAGCTACATTAGAAATTGTGATGTTACCAATATGTGCTCAACGCGTATCCAGAACACGATTCGCATGGCAACGAGAATACCAAAATCGACTGCCTTGCGTTTCGCTGATCGAATACTTGCGCTCACCGCTTTGAAAGCGTAACGTTTTTATGCCAATGTTACAGAATACGGGCCCTGCTCTTATAATTTTTAAAGATTCTGACTTTGACAAGCGAAAATTATTTCTGTTTCTGTTTGCGGTTGTTCTTAGCGATCCCTATAGCAGCGCCAGATCGCGTACAACGTATAGATCCAAAACAGTTATACGTTTTGGCGGGAAGCCGACCATTCCAAACTAAATTTATTTCCTTTGTCTATGGTTAATCGTCAATAAAATTATTACCTCAAATCAAATGCCAATTACCATACAATGTGCAGAAATTAACGAATTGTCAAAAATAACATTAATCGATATCCGTCAATAAAGTTATAACCTCAAATCAAATGACAATTGCAGTAATTTACGTAATGACGTCAGCAATATCTTTCATCTGGTTGTCAAGCATCAATAACTAAAGAATTCAAGCACAAATAACACACGAGAGCAAATTGTTACCATATCACCAAACAGTGCCGTGGCACATATTTTTCTTAACTTAGCTGTTTGAAGAGATATTTATATTTTTTGATAATTGTTTTGACTATGCCTATGATGTATACGGCGGTATCATACTAATTAATTACGAAAAAAAACGTATTAAAATGTTAAAAAAAAGGTACAAAACTAGTATCGACGTATAGCACATCAAGTACATACAATATCAGAAAAATAATTATCGAATTCAAGAAAACTAAGAAAACATTAAAAAGGTGGCGCGGACTGTTTATTTACCTATGAAACGTAATTCCTGGCTCTTTCTTATCGCAGCGGCTTTAACACTTGAAAGCTGAACAACTAATCGCCGTTGTAATAAAGTTTATACAAAGTTTACTATACACAAACTATTAAAAATCGCTAAAATTGTCGCTGATGACCAGCTGATAACTCATTCGTCGCCATCAAAAAAATGGCTTCTAATGTCACAAATTCTGTTGCAGTCCGTATATGGGCGTTACATGTCCTTATATTCTTTAGTCATTGTCAAGCATGATACAAAGAAAACAAGGTATGACATTGCGCAGGTTGGTCACTACGTCACAGGTGATAACGGCACCATTGGTCAGCAAGCTCCGCGCGTCAATTTCAAATCGTCAAATTGATGACACAAAATAAATGTGAAAATGTCTTTTCATTGTCAAACTCAATGATTTGACATAAATTTGAGGTTCTCTCTTAATTGTTCCCTATTTTAGAAAAAGTGTCTTTTCTCATCACTTTTTATAAATCATCTACAAAGTGACTTTTATGTCTAATCAAAACACGGTTTGCTTCTGAATGATTGTGGGTATTAAAATTAATAATTTAAATATGTGTTTTTTTTTAGGTGGCATCTAAACTGGATGAAATCTACAAAACCGGCAAGCTAGTCCACCGAGATCTGGACGAACGTGCCCTGGACGCTCTCAAAGAGTTCCACGTCGATGGCGCTCTCAACGTGCTCGGCCAATTTCTCGATTCCAACCTGGAGCACGTATCCAACAAGTCGGCCTACCTTTGCGGCGTTATGAAAACATATAGGTAGGCATCTGTGTGAATTCTCTTCTTCGACTGAAAAAATAAAAATATTATAGGGGTTTTCTGAAATAAACACTATATTAATCTAAACACAATCGTATACACTATAGGCTTGGTGCATTTCAGTTGATTTCAACAAATTCCGACCGCAGCGCTTCAACGACAAAAATCAGAAATTATCAGTACCTATTTCACGCCGCCATCATGCCGCCATGATCACATTAAAATAATATTGAAATCGTGGTTTTGTCATAATATTTAAGTATTTTAGTTTTTTTGCTAGTGCAGTTATTGAGACTATAAAATACTCAGGTACGAGGTTTGTGCGATGTAACGCTGTTTCGGGTAGTAAAAAATAAGTGAAAAATAATTCGAACTAGGCGTCGTGTTGTGTTGTGACAATTTCAAATGTTAATAAATTATAATAATTATTATAATGGATATTCAACTCTCCCGTAACAACAGTTTATAGCTTCTTAGTTTCTCACACCGACTTGATCAAAAGCAAAATTGGATTCAAGCAGTTCGACGAAACAAGTGAGTAAACAAAGTGCTCGTTACATAATCAAAAAATTAAATAGACATATACTATGAGGGGATAAAATATAATTTGCATTATTAATGGTGTACTTTTTTTAATCAACTATTGATTAAATGTTTTATAAACATCTAAAATTATAATTATGTGCTTTTAAACAATTTCGTTATAGCCCAAAATAGCCCCAATTATGCCCCACTAGCAAAACCGGTGATTAAAACTATGCTCGCTACCGTAGTTGAACTCATCTAAAAAATTTTTTTTAACTGGAATAATAAATTATAAAACAAGTTAGACCTTCTGAAGATACCAAAATATTTACTTTATTTTTCTTTTTAGAATATTTATAAATTATACTTCCTAACACTTTTAGAACAATTAAATAATACATTTTTCGTATTCTTGCTATTTAAACCCGTGCATTTGTAAGTACTACTTGTTTACGATATTCTCCAATGGTGGCAGCACCGGCGGAGAATGCACCAAGCCTATAGGTACACAAGGAAAAGCAGTAATGGCGCCTGCCTGCGAACCTCAAACGGAAAATGTGTAGTTAATTATTATGTCAACAATTGGCCATGCGTATTGCATTTAATGGGACAATGAAAAACTTATGAAAACTCAATTTTCTATCTTTCATTGTACAAGCCGTATTATATTCTTTTATAAGTATATGGTTAGGTTAGATTACAAGTGGAAATAGCTGGTCACCATGTAAAAACATTTAAAGAAGTCTTATTTCTTTTGCAGACAAAAAAGTAGAGCGGGGTCAAGTCAGGGCTCAACGGCGCCCGCACCAGTGCCAGCAAAAGGTCCAGATGAAGAGAAAATTAAACAAATTTTGGATAGGACAGGATATACGTTAGATGTAACTACAGGTAATGTTTGCCTTTGTATATTTTTTAAACCTAGCACTGTAGCCCTGGGACTTATTATAGCTTCTCATTCACTAACTTAAAGATGGTTACATAGATGGATAAACATTAAGGGTGGGGTATATCAACAACAGGTTTCACTATGGCTAATGTTTTAGTGTTTCACATTATACAGGGTGTTCCAGGCTGAGCGTACATTAGAAGTTTATAGAGAATCACAATACCTAGATCGGAGATTTTTTGCACATCTTTGTTTTACAACGAGATCTATCGATTAAAAATATTTTCAATATGGCGGCACTTCCGGAAATACCGGAAGTTGACAGCAACTTTCATTTTTTAAATGGATACCCCAATTTTTTATTATATACTTAAATTATCTGTAAAAGTTTATGAATATTGATGTTAAACACTATACCTAACGTGGACCGTTTTTGAGAAAAAAAATATTTAAAATGTTTGGGCGAAAAAAACTACATGTCAAAAAATTTGTATAGCCTAAAAGTCAAATTTATTGATTACCACAGTCTGTGACATAAAGAGAAGACATGTGGCTATCTATTTCAAAAATTAAATTGTTCAATTACTGATAAAGTTGATAAATTTTTGTGAAAAAAAAACTCAAATTATTTCAGAATCTAAAAATACTTTACTAACATTTTTTTCATTATTAGTCATTATTTGTCATCAGCAATAATTTCCCAAGTTTATGCGTATAGGTTAGAATAATTCTGTATAATAATGACGGTAGCTGTCAATGTTAGGTACGGTTAATGTTAGGTATAGGTAATATAAAATAGGCATAATAGGGTATAATATAAAAATTCATAAAATTTTACAGATAATTTAAGTATGTAATAAAAAAATGGGGGCACCCATTTAAAATAAGAAAGTTGCCGTCAGCTTCCGGTATATCCGGAAGTGCCGCCATATTGAAAATATTTTTAATTGATAGATCTCGTTGTGAAACAGTGATGTGCAAAAAATTTCCGATTTAGATATTGTAGTTCTCTAGAAACTTCTAATGCACGCTCAGCTTGGGACACCCTGTATATCAATAAATGCTACTAATAATAATTAATTGAGAAAATTATCTAATTAAAATATATAAATTGATGTAATTATTATATTAAAGATCATAGATACGCTAATGGTGCAAATAAGTGAAATTTATAAAATTGCCGTTTCTTAATTAAGCTAATTATTCTTGGCAGCTGGTAATAAATGAGAGAATATAAACATAGTAATCAGTTAACTTTTTTATTTCATAATTTATTTGCTACTATAGGCTGTCCAACGAGTTAGGGAAGATTTCGACAGACAACATCCAAAAATGACAGAATTAAATTTACCTTACACACTATAGTAACTAATTATGAAATAGTGAAAAATATTTATTATTTTTCTTTATATTTAATTATAAAAATTTTTAAAGGTACATAAGGTTTGTTCCAACCAGCATTTCGGGATCGTTTCGAAATCGTACTCGAATCGGTTTTCTTGCATTTTGTTAGCATGCGCGGACATGGAGCCGTGGTTTGTTTTCGGGACTGTCAAAAGTGTCAAGCGTGCGTGTATCGAACGGTTTTTGTTTTTGTTCGAGGAAACAAGAAAATACGATTAAAGCTTACCTAAATATTGTTCATTTTTCACCCTTTCACTAGGCAGCAACTCCAAATTGTCACTATCTGAAGTGGAGGTAAAGAAAACAGTCATACTATCGTCACTCGTCCTTATAATTATTATCTACTCCACACAAACTCACAAGCAAAAGTACAACGCACACCTATTCGAATTCGTAAAAAATAACCAAGACAGAAGCATCAGCCGGACACTGGACCAGAATCAGCTGTTAAAAATCGATAATCCCTGCCAATATGCTTTAATGCGCAAGTCAACCCAAACAGTTCTCAATTTGGACCATGTAACTAAACGATCCCCAGGTAGGTTGGTACGCAAGTAGGATCGTCCGATAACCGTCAAATCTCGGTTGGAACACATTTGAATTACTGCGCACGAGCGTGATCGTTCGGTGACGGTTCTGCGGCGGGTTGGAACAGACCTATTATTAGAATTTTAGAAGACGTTCATAAAAAACTAAGCACTAGTTGATTAAAAAGAAGTATACCATTAATATTGGACTGGGTCATACAATTACAACGGCTGGGATCCTTTAAACGCATACTAATTAGGCTTAATTGTTTTTTAGGCCAAAGAAAATACGGGGGTCCGCCTCCCGGATGGGACGGCAGTACCCCCGGCTCGGGGTGCGAGGTGTTCTGCGGCAAAATTCCTAAAGACATGTACGAGGACGAGCTGATACCCCTGTTCGAGCAGTGCGGTCCCATCTGGGATCTGCGGCTCATGATGGACCCGATGACCGGCACGAACCGGGGCTATGCCTTCGTTACGTTCACCACGAGGGAGGCGGCTCAAGTGGCCGTGCAAAAGGTAAGAAGGGCCCCCCTTTATCACGCTACCCGATCTCCAAATTGTGGAAAAAGCTCCGATTTGGGTAGTTTTCAGTTGAGACTGCTCGGGTTCATACACTGAAAAAAGAGAGACAAAAAATTGATAAGGAAATGTTTTGTTTGTAGATCTAAGTAATTATGTGTCTGACAGTGCGTGTACTGTCAGAGTTTATCACGAAATTATCACATGATTTGATTATTTTATATGTTAAAATATAAAGTAAAGTACACTCATTAACTTACTGGATTTGTTTTAGTCAATAAATCTTAATAGTAAATAAAAATTATAGAAAAATAATAGTTCTGCTATTGGAACAACTAAGTAAAATGAATGCATAATATTTTCTCGCATATAAAAATCTCCTTCATTAAAAAGCTCCAACAGAATACCCAAATTAAAAATGGAAAATACAAAAGCACTTACAATTTAAAAATATTTTTACAAGATACAGAGTGTCCCAAATAAATAAAAAATATCAAAGTTGTATTTTTTAAATGAAATACCTTGTATATTACATTTTTAGTTTCTACGATTAAAATAAAGGTAAATTTGATTAAGGTTTACCGCATTTTAATCTGACCGTTTTTGAAATATTTAGGTTTTTGTCAAAATACAGTAATAATTTTAATGCTTCCTCTAGGCGTATTTAATTTTTTTTTAATTTAGTAAATAGAAATACTTCAGTACGATATTTGGTACAGTACGAAATTTTGTGTTTACTAGCTTTAAACGGCAACAACTTGTTTAATATAAATAGAATACCCTGCATATTCTATGAGAATCAGATGCACAATTTAATTGTCTATTAAATTGTATTATACCATTTTTTACCTATCTCTTCAAGTTTTCGTAGAAAATACATTTTCTTATAATTTAGACCTCCTCATTTATCAATATACCCATGGAATATTGACATTTTAGATTATTTTTAAAGATGTAACAAATTTTTAAAGAGTACAGATACTAATATTGTCCATATAGTTCGTTTATTTCATTAAAAAATAAAAAAAATGTTTAATTATTTGTTAGAGAGGACCAATTAATATGATTCCTGTATTCAAACTACATTAATTTACTCTTGCGTTGATTAATAAGAATTGCTCCAAATACTAAAAAACTGAATTTTGTATGTGTATTAGACAGTGTGGTAAAGAGTAACATCTTAAAAATTTTAATGTATTTTTTAACGAATGCTTATTTATAACAACAGAGACGTTCATTTTCATAACTTTTTATTATATTGATTTCTGATTCAAATCCACATTTATTTAGCATAATTTATTAACTAACACAATTAAGTATGTTATTAATTAATATTTGGGCGGAAATAATGGTGGTATATTTAATTAATAGTATACTCTTTTATAAAGATTTAAATAGTTTTCTTTTTGTATATAAAAACAATCTAAAATGTCAATATTCCATGGGTATATTGATAAATGAGGCCGAAATTATAAGAAAATGCATTTTTTACGAAAACTTGAAGGGATAGGTAAAAAATGGTATAATACAATTTGATAGACAATTAAATTGTGCATCTGGTTCTCCCATAGACTTAAAATAAAATATAGACTGAGCATCTCATTCATAAATAGCTGGAACATGCGGTCAGACACTGTCTTGTTATTGTTGTGTTATTGTTTTAGGTTATAACGAGTGCGACACGAGCGATAGATAGGTTGTGTCTGTCGTAACGGTCGTTCCCTGACGACTCTGCCGAGAAACACAACACTGTCTTTCGTTTCTCAAGTACACCTGAACTCTCCGTATCATAGCCGGGTAATTTTTTATTTTAATGAAGCTATAATTAAATTAAAAATATATCGTATTTAAACTTTTTTATATTTTATTAAGATTTAGGACAGGTTTTTTAAATAAAAGTTTAGACAAAAACAATTTAGAGTCCAAAAAGGATAAAAATAATAAAATACACGTTATAGAAGAAATTTTATTAATCGAAATTACGTAATTTTTGAAATTAATAATAAATTATTAATTTTAGACAAACATTTACAACCCCTAATATTAATCAAAACAGGATCTATTCCACAGATATAATAGAATCGGCGACAGGGAGAGAAAAAAAAATGATTGTTGTAATTTTTTTTCTGGTTAAGTGATGTCTTATTATGTAAATTAGAGAAAACATAAATCTGTTCCATTAAAGCAAGGAAGGTGATAGGAAGTGGATAAAATAAAAACTACATTTATTTAACTCGGTACTGTCTTTATTATACCAGGTTGCGTCTCAAAGTGGCTCATCCCCATAATTTTTTTATATTTTCAAATAAAAAACAAGATTTAGTATGTTAGTATATGAAATAAATTAGGATTGATTGACGCATTCAATTGTTTTTGTCACTTCATGTTTCACCGGAAATGACTATAACTTTTAATTTTTAAACGGCACCCTCGGTATATTTCTACTTTTATTCGATAGAAAATGACACTCTGAATAGAATGACATATCATATGTCAACTTTTGAAATTTTCGCATATGGTTTAATTGTAATTGTAACACGCGGTTCATAACGACAATTTGACTCGAAATACCAGGTGTGTGGTATCAATATATTCATAAAAAATGCTTTTCCAAATATGCTAATGAGTCACCTTTGTTCCATTTGAAAAAATTGACATATGTATGATTAAAAATACGATTTGTACATCTTTTAACCGGCCTAGACAAGACACGAAACCCATTAGACGATCAAAACTATTTTTTTTTCAAGGCTCCTTGATTAAAACTTAGTGTTTTTAACAACACCATGGCACCCTAGATTGAAATTTAAAATAGGATTTGTTTTAAGCGACAATGTCAAAGTTGACATATGATATGTCATTCTATTCAGAGTATCATTTTTTATCGAATAAAGTAACAATATACCGAGGGTGCCTTTAAAAATCAAAAGATGTAATCATTTCGGTGAAACAGGAAGAGACCAAAACAATTGAATACGTCAATAAATCCTAATTTATGTCATATACCTACTAACATACAAATCTGTTTTTTTTTATCTGAAAAAATAAAAAGTTATAGGGGTGAGCCACGTTTAGACGACCCGGTATATTAAAAAATATTGTTTCATAATGTAATATCATTTTAAAATTCTTGTATGTTATTTTAGATTCTGAAGATAATTTTAGAATAAACCGGAATATATTTTTAATAAAAACATTATTAATTATTAACAGGGTTATAATTATGATTTTGTTACAATGTAAGTAAGTAAATAATGTAATGTAAGAGAAAAAATTCAGATTTTACATTTTACTAAAATATTATCTAAATAAGCGCCTTTCTACAACAACGCCACTGACTCCCAATGGGTAAATTGAGAGTTGCCTACCGGTCAAAAGTCGTTTCAAGACTTAAATGGATTATTTAAGTCAAATTTCTTGCAAATTTGGCACTGGCGAACCATATTTTATAGTTCTTGAACAGAAAAAGTCAATAAAATAAACACTTAAGCACTACAAGCTAAGAAAATGCGTTAATACAGCCGGGGAGATAGCGGCAACAAAGCTTTACCGCACACGTGCGACACGTACTACAAGGTAATAAATGAATGAATAGGCTCCCTCGCCTCTAATCGGTGTTGTCATATTGTAAAGAACTTATCCTTTTTAAACAGTATCCGACTTATAATTTAGTAGTATAAGGACTATTTAATACATCTCTGGAATATTAAAACCTACTTTATTAAACTGTAGTATTAATATCTCAATATATGTGTATAACAAGAAAAAAAATATTGATAATATTAAAGACGTGACAACATAGGCTGGATGAGGAAGGCTCGGTCGACTGTACCCAGAAGTAAACATGTGTACAAAAAAGGTTGTTTGTCCGCGTTGGGATGTAAATAGTGTAGTCTATATTTTATTTTAAGTCTATGGGTTCTCCTAAATATACAGGGTGTTCCATTTAAATTAAACAAGTTATTGCCGTTTAAAGCTATAAATTATTTAAAATAAATGTTTAGAGACTTTGTATGAGGTAGTATTATTTTTATTATTGCAACAGAATAACTGATCAGCAAATAAACTTCAGTAAATATTTAGTATTAAAAACTTTGATACCCTTGGAGAAATGAAGCCTTAAAATTTTTACTGCAATTTCACAAAACTGAAAATATTTCAAAAACGGTAAAGTTTAAGTGTGAAAATCAAATTTACCTTTATTTTAATCGTAGAAACTAAAAATGTAATAATATATAGGGTGTTCCATTTAAAAAAATACAACTTTGATATTTTTTATTTATTTGAAACGCTCTGTATCTTGTAAAAATATTTTTAAATTGTAGCTCTAATAGTCCTTCAACGAACTCAAAACTTACAATTTGTAAAAATCTAGTCGTTTAGCTACAATATTCCGTGTCGTATGTGGTGGACAACCTTGTATTTTCAATTTTCCTGTATATTTTAGAAAATTTTTAGAACTGCCTGTTCACCGTAAGTTTTCCCACGGTATATATTCTTAATGTCTGATATTACTATAGCCAATTTCGAGCGAACAACCGTTAGTTATGGTTAACAGACAAACAATGCTTTAAACGTCAGTTGTCAGCCAATCAATAAATACAATTGTTTAAAGCATTGCATTGTTTATGTCCTTGGGTGGCTCTCAAATTTTTTTAAAAATAAATCATTTTTTTTTAATTTTCAAACTAGAATAACTCACTTATTTTGGACATATCTGAAAAATGGCAAAGAGAAAATATGTTTCTTTTATCGAGATCGACCATCCCTGAAAATATTTGCACTTATTTAAGGCTCATACTGTATAATTACTCCTACCAAAAAAACATTTTCATTGTAAACCAATTTGATAAAATACATAGTTTTTTTCAGTGTATTGATATTTCGCATATATATATTTTTTTTAATTTTTTAAGCTTATCATTTTTGAGATCGCATTGTAGCTTCGAATAGAAAGGGGGGGGCCCTTTCTAGTGCTAGTAGAACTCGAAATTTTT